TCTCCTCCCGCCCATTCTCCTCTCTAACCCTCTACCCCTCCTTGCCCTCCGCTGTACCATCTGCTCCGTTTCCGCTGACTATCCCTGCATTTGCCTCCTCGCCCGCCACTGGCTCCGCCTACCCCTGCCTCCTCCCGGTACCTCGCCGTCTGCAACCCACTCACCGGGTCACACCGTCTCCGCCCCCCGTTAGGCTCGCCATGGTCAGCTTGCGGCGCCCTCGTACTTACCCAGCTTGCGGCGCTGCCCTGCGCCCCGGGCCCACACCGTTGGCTCAAGTTCTCCCTCCCGGAGGCCCGTCATGATGGCCGGCGCGATCTTCGCCGTCTGCGACGTGGCAACCCCTGGCCGAGACTGTGGAGGCTCCTCTCCTGCCGCCTCCTCGATCTCGGCGGGTGGACCGCGCTCCAGCGCCCGCGGCTGGTCGCGGGGGTGGGCGGGGGGCGGATCTTGATGATCGGAGGGCTGCGGTCGTCGCTCGCAACCGACGCGTCATGGTCGACAGTGTTGATGTTGAGGCGCGACCTTGTGACTGTGGACTAGGACGAGGCTGTCGTTCTTTCAGCAGTAGGGGATTGGGTCCTGCCGACCGCTGGGGCCAATAATAAGGTGAAGGTGATTGGTGGGGATGGTAGGGTTTGGTTCTCAGGGAGGGGGTCAGAGTAAAGTTGGTGATGTGGGAGGAGGAGGACGACAAGGGTGGCTGCGGAGTGTGGAGTTAGGTCGATGGCTTTACAGGGGCCAATGAAGGGGTATCCAGGGGGTTCGTGTTTGGTGCTGGATTTGGTGCCGCCCCATGAGTGATAGCCAAATTTGGTGAGTTACTTCTATTTCACTTTTGTGTAGAACTTGTGCTCTTGTTTTATTTCTTTGTGTGTTCTGAATAATAATCTCATAGATTGGTTATGACGCATTAATGATGTCTTGGAACTAATTAGTTATTTTGTCGAGACTGCTCAATTTGGATGTTTGTAATTCATCTATCTTGATTCACAGGTTTGTCTCCAGCTGATTCTAGTGGGATACTAATTTTTTCATGCCGTCAAATTAAAGTCTCTTCATATCCCCAAGAAACATAGAGATAAAAAATGTACTGTTAATCAAGAATTCAATTTCATGATGGTAATTTTCATAGAGGAAGGTTGAAGTGTGTAATTGTAGTAATGTATCTTTCCATTCTGGTTCACTTTGACCAAAATCCTAAATTGATTGGTCTTTGGGATAAGTTTGATGTCCTGTTAAGATCACATGGTGTCTTGGATTCTGAATGCTGTTTGTGAGAACTACATGCTGAATTTTTCAACATATATATTGTAATACCCCAAATTTAACCTGAAAACCTATTTGTAAATACAAGAATTTTAGGGACTAAAATGCAAGAAGTAGAAAAAAAAGATGAGGCTGAGGTGGTGGGAGCGTGTGGGAGAGAAAAAGGGAAACAGTGAGGGAATCAGAGGAGAAGAAAATAACAAGAAAAGAGGAAGAAGAAGAGAGGAAGGAAAAGTAGAAGAAGAGAAGGAGAGAAAGGATCTGTGTAACGAGAGAAGGAAGAAAGGAGAGAGAGGAAAGAGGTCTCTGCTATGAGAAGAAGAGAAGAAGTAAAAGGAGGAGAGAAGAGGGAAACAGAAGAAGAAGAAGAGGGGAAAGAAAAGAAAAGAGAAAAAAAAAGCAGTAGAGGATTGGGTGTGAGAGAGAAAGAAGAATGAAGAAAGAAGAAGTGGAAGGAAAGGAAAGCAGGAGAAGAAAACGAAAGGATGAGAAGGGAAAAAAGAGGAAAAAAAAAGGATCCGTGTTCGCAGGATAGAAAGAAACAGTGAGAGAAAAGAAAAAAAAAAGAAAAGGAAGAAAATAGGAGAAAAATAAGAAGAAAATTATGGAGGACTCGTTTTGTTATCGAATGGATTCAGATCAAGCCTAGGAAAATTATATCAGATATGGTTTTGAATTCTATTATATCCTTATTAATTAGATTTATGTTCTGAATTATAGGTTGATGAATCTTGATGTTTTTGGTTAATTGGATATTTATGTTGTGAAGGAAATAAAAAGGAGGAAAATGGGGAAGATATGTGTTACCTACACTATGAGGGTTAAAGATGGTTCTGTGCATTGTCATGGGGATATACGTGGTCGTGGCTATTGATACTACTACAACTTCTGTTTTGATTGTACACCTTAGCTATATTTATATTTATGAACTCTTAGTTATATTTATATGAATAATATTCTTTGCACTACAATGTTTATGCTTTAATATGTGACATTTGCTATACTTATACTTTATGAAAATACATTTAAATGTATCTTGTTTTGAAAAGTATTATTAAGAAGACATGATTTCAAATGTATATGAAAGTGATGGTTTATAAATTGTGTAAGTGTGATAAAAGATTTGATATTCATGCATTTTATGTTAATAAGTTATGATTTTGAAATGCATGTAAAGTTTAATTTTTTGAATGAGCATAAGAAAAATATTTGGTATTCATGCATATTTCGAAGCTTGTTTTGAATGCATAAATAATTCATTTTTTTAAAGAAAATATTTATTTATGATAAGTTTTATCTAGCATATGAGTCACGATGCTTATTGAGTTGTGGTTTGCTCATTGATTGAATTATGTAATTATTCTATTGTGATCACTATACATTGAAATTACTTTGTGTATATGTTATTTAGATTGGAAGGTTGTGACTTTTAAAGAGTTGTTGAATCTTTTAAATATCTTATGGGTGAATTGATTTTGAATTGAATTATGTTATTAATGTCCCGTGAGTTGATTGATTGTGAATTGAATTATGTAATAATTATTATGTGAAAGCTATTTATTCTGGTTCTGGCTTTGCATTCTTATAGGGAAACCTATAAGATTGTGATGCTGTATCGTTCTGGCTTTGCATTTTCCGCTAGGTTGGGGGCATTATATATATATATATATATGTATGTATATATATATATATGTATGTATATATGTATATATGTATGTATATATGTATATATGTATGTATATATGTATATATGTATGTATATATAGTTGAACTACATGAGGTATTTCACCCAACTGGACTTTGTCATTGATCATAGTCATCCTCAGTTTTTTGTCCTAAAGGCTGGTTTTAGACCCCAAAGTACAGGAATCATACTGTTGCCTGTACGGACGCAGACATTCTGGACTAGCATTTGGACAAGCATTTTGAAAAGTTCCATGAAGCCTAAATTTGAGTTCCATGAAGCCTAAATTTGAGAGAGGAGGGTGGACCATGCTGAGGGCAAGGACAAGACAGGCTTATGCTCGATTGGAGCTACACCAAAGTCAACGTTTGTGTATGATTAATTAACCAAGTGTACCGAGTTTTGGTTCAGTTTTGCTTAGGAAGAAAATGTATGGATAGGAAACAGAACTTTTCTGGTTCGATACTTAGGTCAACATGGGCTCATCTTATGGACTTAGGCCACCACAGGAGTCTTTTTTAAATCTTTTGCATATTGTTTTATTTATAAAGTCAAAATAGCAGACTTATAATCTGATACTGATGGTTAATCGAAAAAATCTGTTTTACAGTTTTCATACTAGTTGCTTACTAGAATTAGCACTCTTTATCTCATATAATCACATTATTCAAATAGCCTAGGTGATGGACTATTACAGAGCTTAGGCAATAGCACAGGCTGCACATTTCAATCTTAAGAAAAAGTCACTCAGTAGTTCTTTAAGACTAGTAGAACATAAATGTTGTGGGAGTTTCATGCTATTTTGAAAATTATCATGGTTTTTTCCCGCATGTTTAGTCTATTATGCAATTACCAAATGAATTTTGTGGGATATACAATTTCTTGTTGTGGGAGCCGTAGTTGTAGCCTTATTGTGTGAAAAGATAAAATTTCTTTAATTTGTACCTTTCACAGATTGCGTCTATTTCTGTAATACGGCTAACAATATAGGACTTGATTGATGTTCAGGGGTTAATTCCCATCATTCTCCATCAAAAATTTTTAAATATTAAAATTTGATTTAAAAATTCCTATTAGTTATGTATGTTTAGAATCAAACAGAACCAGTTTTTCATAAACAACTGATGGAGAGCAGTGACATCACAGTGTGAATCAAATTACTATTGACAAATAGTTTTACAATTTAATTTGAAACATTAAAATAATACATTCACGTATTTGTTGGGTCTTCTATTATTGACTAAATTGGGACAAATGTGCATGTGCTCGCACGAGGACCAATATGATAAAGGTTCCAAAACCAAAATGGCCTGCGTTGAGTTTTGCCCAGTGATTTAAAAAGCGCTAGGCGCCAAGGTCCAAAAACGCTCGAGGTGCTAGGCGCTCGCCCGAGTGAAACGAGGCGCAAAAATATAAAAATATAAAATATAATTAATAAATATAATTATTTAAAATTTTAAATAAAAATATGTTATTAAATTAAGAAAATCTAAGTTACAAAATCAAAATAATGTATTATTAATCTAATAAATATAAATACTACTATTAGTATACTGTTAACAATATACAGAAGGAGAAGAAGAAAGAGGAGTATAAGGGGGTGCTGACTGAGAAAAGAGGAAGCGACAGCGGCAGTGGCAGCGGGGCGGGAACGGGAGCGGCGAGTGGCAGTAGCAGCGGCAGCGGTGAGCAGCGACAACGACAGCGGGAACAGGAGTGACGAGCAACGGGAGCGGGAGCGGCAGCGGCAACGAGCAGGGTTAGGGTTGGGCAGCGACAACTGATATCGGTTTTAGTTGGTTCAATTGAACCAACTAACCACCGGAGACCGAACCAGACCTAAAATCCTGGTTCGGTCGTCTGGTTTAACCCAGGTGTTCGCTCGAAGCGCCCAGCGCCCAGGCTCGGGCGAGCGCCCAGCGCCCAGGCGGCGCCTCTTTGAAGCGCGCCACCTGAAAGTGACTAGGCGCTCGCCTCTTTGAAGCGCGCCGCCTGGAAGTGAAGCGAGGCGCTCGGGCCTCGCCTCGCCTCGCTCGAGCGCCTAGGCGAGCGCCCGAGCGCCTTTTTAAATCACTAGTTTTGCCAACAATTATATTCATATGAGACCTGCCTAACCCCTTTATTATGGAGGAAATAATAATTTGAAGAGACACCTCATTTGGTTTTTTTTTCCTCTTTTCTATGGTAGTGTAGTGCAACTTCAGAATTGAAAATTCTTGCACCAAGTCCTCATTCTAAAGGCTGATTGAAAACGCCCAACTTAACAGAACTTGTTGGTAGAAGAACATGTTCATATTAATCTACTAGGCCTCTAGACAAGTTCTCTTATTATATAATAATAAATACACATATGTATATATATGCACATATATTTTGTTGAGACAGACAAGTCCACTTTATATTTCCAAGTACCGGTGCCAATGAATTTGTGTAGTAGAATGTTTATTTTCTGTAACCTCCTTTGTTTACATCACTATGTCATAGCAGAGTCTGCAGTAGAAGGATATGCATTTCACAACTAGAGCCTTGATTTGGAGAATCTGTTTTGGCATGGAGATGAGGAAACACACTATGCCTTAGTGAGCTTCAGTAGACTGCAACTGGTCTTGGAAGTATTACACTTTTGGAATGTAATGGTTATCTAGAAGTTTGAAACTCGTATTCCATCTCAAGGTTCGCAAGACCACTGGAAGACCAAAGATCTAGTCCAACAGATAGGGATATCTGGAATGATACTTTATGAGCACGACAAGTCAGTAGGATCTTCATCCGCTTTCTTTGGTTCTCATGGTTCTGGAGAGAGCCATTTTGAGGTTTTCTTCAGAACCTATACGTTTGAAATATATGCAGCATTCAAAGATTTCCTTAAACAAAATCTGAATTGTACTGTTGCTCTGGAGATTTCTCAGTGAAAAAATGACAAGTTGGCAAGATTAGTCATTTGCTTCTATTAGCATGTCAAATTCAGTCAGTAAATAAACAATGAGACTATGTTGTTAATTGGTTTATTTTTTGGAAAGCATTTTAAAGCATGTGATGGACTTTAATTCTGTTCAGAAGAGAGACAATCTTCACCCACCTCCTTGCTGGTATAAATGCTTTAGATCCTTCACATCATAGTATGTTGCTGGTCATGTTTGTGAGCTTGTTACTGTGTTTATGGATGTAGAATGTGAAAGTTTTAAGTCATACATGTATCTTTTGCATCTGTGGACTTTCTTGGGTACATTAGCTAACTGAATGTAGATATGACTTTGGAGTGTTCTGTTCCCTCATTCCTCTACTTTTCTGTCCTCCATCCTATTTTTATTTGAATGAGGATTGCAAAAAGACATCATTTGTGTTATTGTTCAATTAATTGAGCGGTCTTATTTTCTCTCCTTTAGTAGACTAGCTTTTATCCATTTGATGAAATGTTCTTTATTCCCTGCAGCTATTGATATGGTTCTGCGAGCTTGACGGTGTCTGTTATAGCCCTGTAGAACAGGCTAATGTGCATGAACCCTGAGATGGAGAGACCTGTTTTGGCATCAGAGGAAGCTACTGCAGGAAGGTGGTGGTGCTGCTGCTTGGAATTGGATACCACAGCTTGCTTGTATGAACATGAGAATCAAAAACTAATCAAGGTGCATGCCTATCATTTTCATTGATCTTTGTTTGTGCATTAAACCCAATGAGAACCTCACCTTCTATCAATTATTTGCTTGGATTATGTGATACCTAATACTTGATCAATGCAGATGTATATATTATGACACTGGTTAACCATTTGGTAAGCGACTCCATTGTCAAAGGACTACATGGGGTGACATGGATGGCATGCCTATTTTCCGTGCATATTCTTCACAAACATCACTGTCGGTGGTGGAACATGCTTATTACTTATTATTTAAGCTGAGCTTAGACAAAGCAGGAACTTTCCTTGATCCTTCATCTCCAGTTAAGATTATTTTCTGGGTTGACTTTTTTCACACTCACAAACTAGTGTAAGGGCCACATGACCTTGTTGGATGCATCTAGTCCTATTGGAAATGGAATCTTTTTTCCTAGCAGAAGAGTTTGAGCTACTCTTGGTAGGAAAATTCAACCTTTTGTCGTGGGATCTTGGTACAGTAGTTTCTTATCAGTAGTGAAGATACTTTTGTACTACTGGTACATCCATTGTCATAGTTTTTTCTTGTTGTGGCCACTCACAGTCCACTTTATTCACCAGCAGAGAGGGACTGACAACATCTAGGAATTCCTGGTGGCTCAGCATGCATTCTGGCATCACTGGATGTCTTTGTTTCCCAACCTTTTGAGGGTTTATTTAATCACCTGTCTCTATCGAGCCATTATCCAGGAAAGGGACGGCTCTTATTGGTCGGCAGGTATGGCCATTCTTATATACCCCTCTTGATTATTATTTATTTGAGAGGAGCTCTCTTCCTATAGTTTTCTCTTCTATTTGATACTTATCCCTACAGGATGGAGAACCTCCTTCTGGAATCGATATTGACATTGCCATGGAGAGGCCAGTCCACAGATTCTTCAAGCCTCGTCTATTCTGGGGAGGCAGAATCAAAGAACATTGCCCCAGATGCAAGCAATCAGGTCAATCATCCACTTGGCGGAAGTGGAGGCATGTTCTTGAGCTGGATTTTGCCTTTAGCAAAGCCAGGCACAAGATCCATGATTGATGGGCAAGAGTATAATACAAGACAACAGGATCATCCTCGCCTGAATCAATCATGTCATGCGTGTGAGACACTCGAGAGCCGGCCCACCATGGAGCCTTCTCCTGCATATGGGAAGCTGGGGCTTCAGGGAACCAACGACATGAATCTTCGTCAGTTGACAGGTTCAAGGACCAATTCCTGTCTCCTCATCAACCAGCACTACTCAGGTTGGCTTTCCCATTTCGTCAGACATCTTGCGTGCTATACTGTCAACTGACGTCGTTTGAATGCAGGTGGAACTTTTCCAAGGAAACTTTGATGTCAACCTGTAGAAGAAACAAATGACGGCGTATATAATGTAGCCTATAGCAGCCTTTAGGCACTGCTTATTGGAAGATTTTAATCTATCCATCGTTCTAGGATTTGACCTTTGTCAATTATTAATTCCGATGCTTACTTCTTCAGCTTCTCAAGAGTCATCTCTCCGATCGCTTGCCTTATCCATGACTCGATGTTGCTCACGACATGCTAAAATGTCCTCCCATTTGTGCTAAATCCAGCGGTTGGAAGGTATCCCAGAACATTTCATTCATTATTTATCTCTACATATGGCGATAAAAATAGAGACCACCAATTGTGTTACTATAGAGAAATTTGGTGATCCTCCCCACAGTTCATGAATGCTTTAACAACATTTTGAATGATACCAATGTGAACAGCTACTAATTGATGATTCTAAAAAGAGAAGTTTTAACAATGTCAGTCTCCTAACAAAAGAGAGATCCTTGAAGTTCAAAAAAATGTGCATGGGATTTACATAATATCATGATTTTATAATAAAATTATGTAGTTATATCAAGATTTTATGTATGTGATTTTGGTTAATTATATATTATTTTTATAATTAGTTATTTTTAATATTTCAGTCCTATGTTTTTGAATTTTAATATTTACGAAAGTAAAATATTAAGAAAGAGAAGAGTTTTATTGGAGCAATGAGTTTAACATAAAGATTTCAATTAAAATTAAAAAAATATAAAAATCAGAATATTAAAAATAATTAATTATAAGAAATAGTTTATAATTAACTCATATAATTGTCAGGGAGCAAAATAAAATAACAAAATATCAGGGGCTAAAAAGACGAAATTTCTTCGGGTGGGGGAATTGTTCGTTCTCGGAAGGAATGCATCAAAAGGAAGGAAGCAGAGGGCTTGGACGTGACATGGCGATCGTAAGGCTGCTCCTATCCGAAAAGAAGGGATAAAAAAAATCCTTCTTTAGGCCGTCTCTTCGGACTTTCCACTAACGCCGAAACATTCTGCGCTTTTCTTTTCTCCTCCGCTTCACTTCCTCTGGTATCTCCGCCGCTTTGCAGTATTCCTTGACTGCCGGAGATCCTTCTTCTTGTTCCCTTTTCATTCGGAACCCTAGCTTCGGTCCGTGGACATGGGCGCTTCCGCTTCCGCTTCCGAGTCCTAGCCTCAGAGCTCCAGCCCCGCGACCGACATGGACGAAGGCGAGGGCGAGAGCTCGTCGCCCGCGAGGCCCCTCGGCGGCCCCTCCCCCCGCGACGCCTTAAGGAACGAAATCTACGAGCGGCTGCTCGACAGCGGCAACGAGGAGGTCATATCCAATCCCAACCTCCGCGACCTGCTCGACGCCCACCTCAGCCGCTTGCCCCTCAGGTTCTCCGCCCCCTTGCTTCTTTGTCTCTCTTTATGACTCTGCCCTTGTTCGATGTTTGAGTCGGATCACTTGTGTTATCTGCTTCGTGATCAATATCCTGAGTCTTTACCTTGACTTGAACATCGATCTTTTTTTCTCAACTTGTTGAGGCGAAGATGTATAGTTGCAGTCTTGGCGCGTTTGGTGTTATAGTTAGTAATGTTTGAGCTGATTGGTTTAACAAATTGTTAAGAGGTGAAGTTGTGTTTCCAATTTTTTCGCTATCGGGATTGTTACTATCCCATGTATGATGTGTTTATTAGATATGGGCTTGATCTGAACATGGAAAGAGTAGAGGACGTGCTATTGCATCAGAAGATTCTTGCAGATGCTGAGGACCCAGACAAACGACCGATCTTCCATGTCCGCTTCATGAAGGTACAAAAGGTACCAGAGAACGCCTGTCATGAATACAACCCTTTTCATTACAAGCTTCGTTGCAGGTTTTGTGGAACTGATCAAATATGATTTTTAAATGTTCTGTGGTTTCATGATTTGTATGCTTGTCTTTCTATCAGGTCCTTCTATCATTGACCTCTTACTTAGCTCTCGATCGTTGTAATTGTCAGTATGAACTATGACATTCTTTTGGACCATAAAAAATTACCTTGTTAGTCACAAGAGAGCCTTGGAAACTGTGTAGTTCTTACCTGAGGGTATTTCAGGTACAGGTTAGACCATGAAGAATGTGTCAAATCTCTCAGTGTGATGGTCTAAAAGAAAAATGATCTGTTTCTTGCACCATGTTTATGCATATATTCTTCTTAACTTTGTTGTGCTTATTATTCACACCTAAGTCAAGGATCAGCACGTACTGACTATTATTTACCAATTTGACCAAGCATCGATATCAAAACATGTAGCTTGATATTGGTTTTTTATACTGCATTTTTAATATAATGGACAGTGTAGGTCAGTATGTTGCTCGGTACTGTACCATTCCAATAGCTTTACCAAAACCAGGGTCATAGATCCTTGCTTTGGGTACTTCTGTTTCAGGTTAAGCAAACATGCTCTAGATGATTGCATCAAGTCTCAGTTGTGGCTGTTTAGAGAAAAAAAGTTGACTACTACAGGAGATCATCATGATTTATATAATTACTTAACTCTGATCATATGTTTTGTTGTGAGTAAAAGATGCTGTGGCTTATCTTGCCCTGCTTTTCTCATCACGTATGTTTTTTTTTTTTTTATCATTGGACCTTATTTATTGTATACTAAAGATTGCTAGGAACATCATCAGCAACTACACAACACAATGTATTGTGATTTGGTTACTTCATCAACTATCTTACAGAGAATTCCTTCCTTGCTACATGTTTGATCACACTTATCAATTTTTAGTTTTGTTTTCAAATTTCTCATTCTTCCTAACGTTCAATTAAGCAAACCTTTTATGTAGTCAATCCTTCTTTAAATGCACTTGTCTAAGTCTCGCTTTTAGTGTTTTCATATGTAACTTCTATTTGTAGGTAGGTAGGATCCACATCTTTGTTAAATTTCAAATACTTGTCACAGTAGCCAATAAATCATTAGGTGTTCTTCTAATGGTTTCAGTACCAACGGGATTATTGATGGTACTTTTTGGATAATGTTAATAAATTTCATTTCGTTGTCCAGTAGCTACAACAAGCTTTTTGATCGGTACCGCAGTAGCTCTTTGGTTAGGTATTGGAGCAACATTACCTATTGATAAATCATTAACTCTAGGTTTTTTTAATTGATTCAACCATGAAATACCATGATGTAGGTATCCAAGGAAGAGTGACTATGCTTTTATAGCCAGGCGTAACACGCAAAGAAAAACAAAAGGAAAGGAAAAGAAAAGGATGAATTAGGGCAAACAACAAAAAGAATAAGTAATTAAAATATACACTCGAGACACTCTTATCAATTTGGTCATTTTTCACTTTGCAAAGTGTGATCAATGCAGATAAGTGCTTTCTCGCAACTTTAGGTAATCTCATATATCAATTTAAGCAGACTTGAGTAAGTCCACACATGTGCTATACTTTATGTGACTGCTTTAGGGATTTATGGTCATGAGTTCACCTTATGTTGTACGAAAACTGAAAACTGCCAGGCGATACTTGTTATGTTCAGTGTATGTTGCAGCTTTTTTGTTAACCAGATATTGTTTGCTTCGTGAAACTGCCAAATGAAGACAAGTTTTTTCTTGCATCGGATCCTTCAGGATAGCTATGACATATCCTTTAAATTTTCATGTGATTGGTAACTTCGTATGGCTGGAATGTTATAACTTTGCCTTGACAATACATGACTCCCGCTGTATTTACAAAAGTTGTGGATTTTGTATTCTGAATGTGTGTTATCCCAAGTATTACTTTTTGTTATAATTCTCGTATGTTTTATGTCATACTGGGTAGTGCATTCAGACCGGTGCATGTGAGGATGATGCCCAGCAACAATCTGTGAGAATTGATTCAAATGGAAAAGGATATAGTGATATTGTCCATGAAGGAGACATGGTGCCAAATTTAAGGTACTCTACCCATCAAAATCTTTTCTACTATGAGGTATTTCTGATTGTTTGAAGTTAACTGATACATTTTGTTCAATTCTGCCTGATCTGCACCTGTCACACAAACTTTTTTGCTCTTTCGTATTTCTTGTGATACTTTTGTTTTGTATTGCTAACTGATACTAATTAGTTTGGAAGAAACAGAGACCGGGGAATTGAATTTGAACCTTGTTCAAAGCTTGAAGATCTGAATTTAGATGTTAAAGATATTGCTCAAGAAATCAGAGATTCAAAGGAGGTTCATTCTATGAGGTATATGCCTTATTATACCAATCAGTTCTCATAAGTGAGACTCAGTTCAAACCATTAGTTACATGTTAGTTATATGAATTCCTATAACTTATATAACTAGTCAAATGTCATATAGATATATTGTTTTTCAAATCTGGAGGACTCTGAAAAGTTAAATGATTGGCTAAACCCTTATAGTTCAGATTTATTGACCTCCAGTTTTGATTTTCATTTTATGTAGATAATTTTTTTTAAATTTCTGTACACATCAGTGTTTATTATTGAACAAATTGAGAGCTCAGTGAAGAGATAGAGAATAATATGACATAAATTGTGAAGGAATCCTGTTCTCAAGAAATAGTTCATTTTGCTGACATGGACAAGGTTCATGTGAGAAAGGAACAGAAGTGACTCTGGTAGCTTAAATTTAGTCACAAAATGGAATTCTTTATTTAGCCAAGACTGACTCCATGACCTTTAGGCCTTACAAGTTCTCATATGTATGGAGGTTGATGTAGAAAAGTTACACTTGCCACTCTGCAAAACTGCACAGTGGCAGACAGAAGTTTTGAATTCTTAAAACATGCATCTAACTGTTAACACAACTTGTCTAGCATAGACCTATATTGTACCTCTTAGACCCCAAATAAGCTTATAAATGACTCTGGACATTTTTTAAAATAGCTACTAAAATTAAGAACAAATCTTGCCAAAAGACCATAGAATTATTTAGAAAATCCTAAAATACTCCTATTCTAACTAGAAAATAATCTAGAATCAACACTTTGATAATAGCAGTCAACCAATTCATCTAGGGATTCTTCTTGCTTCGTCTTGATTCTAAGGGGGCTGGCCCAGCCCTTACTACTGTTGGCCAAGGTGGGGCCAGTATGTGGGGTGGCATGAGATCCTACCACTTTGGAACAAGCTTTGGAATTGTAAAACAAGAGCGAAGTAAATAAAATGCGAAATTGAATGTTCTCAATATTATTCTCCATTAGTTGCTTGAGATACCATGGCCTAAATACTTGTCAAACTGTTACATACCATATGGTATTTATCAGTCCAATTAGTATATCCCAATCAACATTTACCGGTCCAACAATGATAATGGACCATATAGCATGAAATTGCTCGGTCTACCTTTTATTATTTTTTCTAGTGTTATTGGGTGGTATGGGTTCAGTCTACCACTCGGTATCCAGTGTTTTCAAAAAGTGCTTTGGCACGCACTCAGATGCTCGAGCAAGGTGAGACTCGAGCACCATGCAACACCTTGGGCCGAGACGAAACCTGAGTGCCTTGCAACACCTTGGTGCGAGGCTTTTCAATATAGCGTTGCTCAGGCACACGCCTCAGTCCAAGTGCTAGGCGCCTCGGGCATGTGCTCGAGCCAAATTAGGCGAGTTCGAGCTTTGGTTCAATTGGGCGAGTAAGTTAGTTCAATCGAACCAACTAATATCACTTACCCTAACACACCCCCGCGTGCTCAATCTAGTGAAAGAAATCAACGAAGTGAAACCCTACCGCTCGTCGGTCACCTTCGTATGCTTTGTCCGTCGCTTTCATTCGCTTCGCTCATTATTGTCAGCAACTTCATTATCCACTACAGCTTCGTTCGCTTCGTCCGTTCGTGGAGAAATGTCTAGAGAGCCAAGTCTTTACTATGGAGAGCATTCCTACATCATTCCCCATGATTAAGATGCCATCCACATATAACACCAAGAAGGTGATAGCACTCTCACTTACTTTCTTGAACACACAAGGCTCATCTTCGTTATGCAACTTTGTCCGTCATCGTTTGCAGCTTTGTTCACTACTACAGCTTCGTTTGTTGTCGTCTTCAGCTTCGTTTGTCATTGGTTTCTACCTTCCCCACCTTCCTCCGCAGCCTTTCTCTGGTTACTTCTCCGTTTCCTTAGTCCTCTCTTTCTCATTTTATAGGTAATAGTCTTGCGTTGATTAACTTGCTGCACCAACATGAGGTCGTGCGCTGTTAGGAGTTAGAACTTAGAAGTTCTAATTTCACTTAGGTAGGAATATCACATTGATATAAAAACATTGAAGGGGAAGAGGAAGATGATGGGTTTGAGAATAATGAAGTTGATTATGATGATCATTGAATTTGATGTTAAACTTCACTATTTTGACATTTTTTGTTATTAGAAGATGGATAATGTAATTTGGTACTTTATATGATTCTAATTTAATGTGTCATTTTTATTTTTATGATCATATTTATCAAACATAATATATATTTTTAAATTTTAATATTCGGGAGTGCCTCGCTTCGCTTCGGTAGGTGCTTAAGCGATCGTCTAGCGCCTTGGGTATTTTGCCACCTTGGTGTCTTTTGGTGCCTAGCTTGCATTGTACCTATCCACATTTATCAAGACCTTGATCAGCATTTAAAAACTTATGAGAAATCCTTTATATTTAGCTATTTGCTAAGAAAATTGTATTTCGTCATGTGCAGGCACGATATCAAGGATGTCGCGATTCATGAGATAATATTTTCATCAATTGACAAGCCCAAGCTCCTTAGCCAGGTAGGATGATTTTTTCTTTTCAGAATCATAAGATCTGTCTTTTTTTTCATGTTTCTGCACTATAGATTTGCTATCCAGATTTCTTGTTTACAGTTTCTTCATCATTGACGTCCTCTGGAAAGGGGGAAATACATGTTGTTCCTGGGATGATTTGCTTAGCATATGCTTCCACAGTAGCACTATTAAGATTTCTGTGCAACAAAGAATCACCATTTGTGCAGTGCCTTTTTGGCGAGAGAACCTATATAACAATTTAGTTGCGGAGGTTGATGATGCTTGAAATATTTTGTAGCTGATAGGAAACTATTCTAGCCTTATAATATTATCTACTCATTAGCATAATGGCCAGCATTAGTGTGCAACATCTACTGTAATGCGTAATATTTGTGGGCAATCACTGGATATTTCCAAAATTCTTGTGCTTGCTTGTACTTTGATGTTTCTGGTCAGGGTTATATTGATCCTTGTAAGAGTTTTAGCCCTTTTTACCAAAATAGAAAAAAGCTAGGGTACCAAATGTACTAGATGTCATACATATGTGCCTTTATATTTGTAATCTCTGATATAATATTCTGACTACGATTAGAGCTTTTTCTGTGGATGTGCTTACCTGCTCGACATCTTGAACTGATTTTCCCATTTCAGCCACATTCTTCTCCCTACAAGCGCCTAGAACTGCTTCATTGTTGATTAAACTTTGTTAAATGTCTAAATGAGCATACACATGATATTTGCACCTCCAAAAATTTTAATGTTTGACAGAGTCGCTGAATGGTAGATTAGTAATGGAAAAAAAGTACCAGTAGGATGAACATACAGTGATTAGGTGAACTTGGAGCACATATGTAAGGTATAGGCTTTTGCCAGCAACTAAAGTATAACAAGAACAATAATACATAATGTCCCAACTATTTGGGATTGGCTAGATGATTCCTTTTCTGCCATTGATCTATAAGTAGGGCAATATCCCTTGTTTAGTTAAATGGTTGCCAAGCAACTGAAGCATAAATAGATTGTTGCTCTCTGACATGGTTGCTTGTTCCTGCATAAATAGTTGTCACCATCCAAAAGCTGAAAACATGGTTTCATTCAATATAATTTCTAGGATTTTAGATCTAAAATAACTAGTTTTTGTATATGACATGACCCCTAAACCTTAGTGGCAGAAAAGGTGGAAACCAGTCAACTTCAGCACACACACACACACACACTAAAAAAAGCAATAATCTTTTTTTCTTCCCTTCTTATTTTGGATGTTATTTTTGGAAACAAGATGCTCCTCTTGGCTTAAGAATCCTACTCAATTAATAACAAAGCTTTTGAGGCATAGGCTTAAATATCCTCCTGATAGAACATTGATATAGCAGGCCTTCCTTAGGTGTTAGGCTGAACTAACCGATGCCACCTCCTAGGAGTGGGAGATTCTCATGATGGAGCATCGTGGGCCCATATTTGGAGTTAGACTGAACTAACTGGTGCCACCAATTTGCAAAGTGGTTCAGCTTTTTGCAGATGGTTCCATGAAGCTCTAGATACTAGATATGGGTGAATTGTATGATGGTGGTTATCAAGCTAGTCATAGGAACCAGGTAGTAACTAACCAAAACTTTTATACAACTACATATTCTACCTGCTTGATGATGATGTACTTCATAGAGAAGCAGATCAAGTATGTGATCTATATTAAATGCACTGGTGATATTTTAATGCATTTTGTATACTGGTGTTGCTAAAGTTGTCTGATGAGGATTGCATTCTCTTTCCTTTGCTCCTGTTTTCCAAACTGATGTTTCATAAACACTTTTTTATGGTTGACATAAATATCTCACTCCATAAGTTTAAGGTGAATTATTATGATTACTTCCATTGTTTCTCATTACATTTTTTTCAAGTTTAAATTAAATCTACTCTTTTAGTTATCTGCTTTGCTTGCCGACATTGGGTTGAACATCCGTGAAGCTCATGTTTTTTCAACAACTGATGGTTATTCCTTGGACGTGTTTGAAGTTGATGGTTGGCCAGAAGAGGTAATCTTTCTTTGTTCTTTCTTTTTCTCTTTTTTCTTCCTGGATAAGTTGTGGCCACAAAAAAAGTTATTTAAACAGCTGAGTTGTACTCATTTAGTTTCCTTGCCAAGATGGAAGTCTTATTGTTTTATTTATAGTCAATCTTGCCCAAGGCTATGTATGAAAATTAGAAAAAAAGGCTACTGATTGTGAATTCACAGCCTTTGGAATAATCATGTAAATTAGTGTAAATAAGAAGGTAAAGGAAGTTTACACGTGAACAACCTTTTGTGTGAAAAAGAGAACATTTGCATGGTAAAGAGGCTTCCGAAGTAGATTTATTTATATTTAATTTGATTTAGTTGATAGATTATGGCCTTAACCAGATTGATTGCTCCATGTTGCAGCTGGCATTGTGTCTTATCCTTGTTAGTCCATTATTTGAATAAATGTCAGTTGTTGGACCTCTACGTTCAGGAAAAGGCAACTCAAAGTCCCTATACTTGTCAGTCAACTAACATCTACCTCTATCTATCTTGATATCTTGTTAGACCTCCTGCTTATCGTGTAAAAGATTATTTCTTTGCTTCATTCTTCCTTCATCTCTACGTTATTCTTATATGGTACCTTTGTTTATATATCCACCAAATTGATCTGTGATAGATGTAATTAAATGGTATATTAGGGTAGTTATATGTGTGTGTATCTGTGTGTGTGTGTGTGTGTGTGTTTGATTTGACATTATTTAATGTACCTTTTGGCGGCATCAAAGTCTACAATATTTTCTTATTTTGTTTAAGCTATAAATCTGTATCAAAATCTACCATGCAATCTTTAAGCCATCCCTAAGCATCACAGCTTCAGCGATTATTATTGAATTTTAGTCTCCTTGCACGAAACAAATTATCTTTATAGTTTGCATATTTTATGTTTGTGTTTGTTGTAGAATCCTTGGTTGTTGGTGCAGTGATCATTTATGCTTATTGTCTTTCTGCTAGTTGTTTCAAGCATCTCCTCTGTTTTGCCAATAGAAGTGCACTTAACAGAAATAATTTCTTGAAATGCTTTGCATTGTAAATTACTTCCAAGTGAATTTTACGTTTAAGTCACCTGGAATTGAGACTCATATCATAATTCTCGATCACATGAAACAAAGCACCTGTAGTGGACATGTCACCAATTGATACACAATTCAGCAGAGAAGGAATCTGTTAAAGGATCGACCCTCTAGTTGACTAAAATAAGTTTTCGATAATGAGATCTTCCTGCACTATAGGCTTTTCCAATTTATCTTAGTTTTTTTGTGGTGTAGAACATTCTAGAGGTTGAGATAATTTTAACCATTTAGAACACATTTTAATCTAATATCTTCAACCAATTGGAGTTTTTTCTTGACAGTGTGAAAGTGGAGGTTGACTAACTGTTATGGTTTTTGCTTTATATTATTTCAGTTCCACTGCATATTTCTCCTACTGCATCCTTGCTGTCTATGTTTGTCTGGTTATATGTTGCACAAATTAATCCTCTAATTGTAATGTGTGGTTCCTCTGGGCATAGCTGTTTCCTTCTGTTCTGCCCACGAACCAGGTAATATAGTGTGTGTGATGGATAATGCTCTGTCCACATGGGCCCTTAAATTAATAAAGGGCACTGTGATCCTGGTTTCTTCTAATGGCAGGGATCTATTCCAAGCCAAAATGTTGCTGACTTTGCAATGGGTGTGGTCAGGAAACAGATGGTTTGCTGAAGGAGCTGGATGATGCAGCCATTGCATATAATGAGGTATAGTTATGTTATGTTCCACAAGAAATTACTTTTACTTTTTTTATTGGATTTATTTGTGTCAAAAAGAAGAACTTTGTATATTTTCAAAATTTTGTATATTTAAACATTTAGCAGTTCCTGCTTAATCAATGATGCAATACTTAAAATGAATGATGCTCTTTTTTCTGGGATTAATATAGGGTTCCTTGTCTGGCGCATCTCGTTGTTCGTCCACCGAAAAGGTGCTGGGTTCACAATCAAAGGTTGTTGATTGGGAAATTGATAGAAGATTTTTGAAGATGGGAAAAAAGATTGCACGTGGATCTTGTGGAGATTTGTAAGTCTGGAAATTTATGAGATATTGCTGCTTCTGCTTCTTCACCTTTTGTCTTATAGTTTTATATCTTAACTGTATGTGTATTGGTGTTTTGACGCTTCATAAAGGTATCGTGCAACTTACTTGGGTCAGGATGTTGCGGTGAAGATTCTTAGAGCTGATCAGCTAAATGAAGCTTTGTTGCTGGAATTTAATCAAGAAGTAGATATTTTAAGGTGTTTCATAAATATAACTGCATTTGAGACTTTCAACGTCTTATAACTCCTATTATACTATGTCAACTTAGTCATTATTGTTCTGAAGTCTCTTTTTATTTCAGGAGAGTTCACCATAAAAACATTGTTCACTATATAGGTGCATGTGTGAAGCCTACAGAACTTTGCATAATAACAGGTAAATCTTAAATTGACAATGACAATTTTTTTTTTCACGGTTTAGAAGAAAGGGCATTATTTCATTCTTTAAGTTAGCTCATACCAGTATTAGGTTGATGTTAAGCTAAAGATTCACTTTTATCTTGATGCTAATACTTTTCAGTAATGACTGTCACATCCCGAGCCTGAATACCACCTGGGTTAAGTTATTAGAAGTTGCCCTTTGAGGATGGGTAGAAACACATGCTAATGAAAGCCATTCACTAAAGTCCCTGACGTCCTTGCTAGGCCCATGCATGTATCATGTATCACCCTAAAGGCAGATCACCAGCCTTCCTAAGCCCTCAATTTTGCTATGCTCTTTTCTGATTTATTCCTTTTCTCCTTTCTCTTTTTGCTTCTCATTAGATTGATTTGGATGACAATGATCATCAATCTTATGATGATACTAGTGAATCCAGAAGCCATGATGTTAAGGTCTGAACTTATGCCTTATTTAAGCCTTGGGATTAGTTGGTGTCCTGAAACTTGATTTCTGGATCTTTATTGGATGTCTAAACAATCTTAAATGTGCATCCTTCATTTTATTTTTGATAGTTATCACCTTCAGTAATTCACAGTTGCAAACATCTCTTGCTCTTTCTTTTTTACTAATCCACATATTCATCTCACCATCCTCATGGCACATTGTCTCTTTGGATACGCTGTTTTCTAATTGTATTTGTCTGTAAAATTGTTAATGTTCTGGGATGATGAGGTGCAGACAACAGTCAGACAACACTCTTGGGATACACTGTTCACTTTAGTCATCTTAATTTATTATGATTTCTTCTTTAATCTTCTGTACTTGATAACAAATAGATCAAACATATTAGGCACAATCTTTTGGGCCTTCTTGAACATCGGTTTTGGCTAAAGTTTCAACTCTTCTATGGTCTTGCTAAAGTTGTCTTCAATAGTCATTCTCTCTTAATTAAATTAACAACATGTATGATGCTTTTTCCCGCTCCTTGTTAGTACTTGAAGTTAAACTACACCACTAGAATGTGATTATAATATTATGTTTGCCTGAATTATAGGCAAAAAGAATACATCAGTACATTTATGTGTCATAGTAAAATCATAGCATTTTGACACATCTGTGTAGACAGACAGGTAAGTTTTTTGTTTGCCCATGTGAGGTATCAAAATATTTTCTTGTGCGATGGATTATATTCTAGCACTATGAGATAAACCTCTGTCCTGTCCTTTCACAGACTATATATATAATTATGAGGAACTGCGTTAGAATGTAAGGTTCTTTTAGTCAAATAACTTTTTAGACTTTTCATGTAGTGGTTTCTTGTTTTGTTTTATGTAGAAAAAAAAACTATTAACAAGTGTATCTTTATGTTGATAGTTCAGAACGCTAGCAGCTGGCTTTTATAATAGTCTAAATATTAACTTTTCATAGAGACACATTAGCATCCACCTCTTGCAACACCTGAACCTGGATGTGACAGAAAAGAATGATGAGGTTAGCCATATAGCCTGGTAGGAAAAATCTAGTATTTTGTGGCTCTGCTACAATTTTAAGACTTTTCTGGGTTTGATATATCAGTGTGCTAGATCTAGTTTGTTAGTCTAGATATTATGTAAGAAAAAGATAAAGGTGCTTCAAGTTAAAGTACTTCATACAGCATTAAATATTTTCTTTGATTTTTATAATAAAAATTCAATGTGTATTTTCTCCTTATGTCAGTTTCTTGCTTGCATTCTAATTTTCTTTGAAGACAAAGTTGCAACAAGTATCCCTTCAATAATTTTTCATGTTTATCTCTCTGGATTTAAGTATAGCATCTGCAAGACCAAGAAACTTGCATATTCATCAGTCGACTATCATTTGATAGTTGACTTTCAAACTTTAATTGGAATTGATAATCATCAATTTGGTACTTCAAAACTATGATGATAAAAAATATTAAGGTGTATTTTGGTTGTTTTGTATTCTCTTATATCTTTTAATTTTAGACTAGCTACTAAAAACCATGGTTGCTAGTGGTTAACCTGAATTTTCCATATAAATTTTAATCAAATGGTTATATAAGGAAAATCATAATATTTGACAGGACATGTATGCTACACTGGGATTTGTATTGGCAAATATATTATTCTCAACTCTGCTAGGAAATGTGTAAAAAGTCCCCTTCTTTAAAGGAGCTAGTTGGCAACTTTTTTACCTACAGACCACTTCCACATCTAATAAAGGATACAGACAAACTTGTTAATTGAGGAAAGAGAAGTACAGAATTAGACAACATTAAATGCATAAAGAAGACTGATAGATTGTTGAAAAGTGTAAAAGACTTAAGAAAAGTGGATATGTTACATTAATCAGTGCTTCAATGCAAATCATGTTGGTGACTCAATATGGCTATATTAGAATTTTGTAGCAGACCTATAAACACTAGATTTTTTCCTTTTGGGTTATAGTTGCATCACTAATTTTCTCTAGAAACCAAACTAGTATATTTGACCTCTCCAAAAAGATATGTTAATATTCTTCTTGAGGGCCTATCTGATACCAGTTTTGGCAGGTGGATAAACTGGTATACCAAGCTATGTACCCAACCTGTACCGACCGGCTTCACCAGAAAAAGAAAATTGTGAAAAAAAAAATCAGATTTATAAATATCAATTTCTACATGCTAGTTCAACCAGTACTTGGGACGTTGTTAAAAGTTTCTTACAGCTTATAATCTATACAGTAGGCCTAGACCAAGGTTATGATCTCTGAAATCAGCAGAAACATATTAAAGGAAACATGAATAATAGTCCAACTGAGAAGCTTATGTAGAGAATACACCATGAAATGAATAGAAAATAAAGGAGGAAAGAGAAATCTCGCAGGAGGAACACCTAGGTTTAATAGCAACATATCACCCTCTCAAGAATTAGATTGAAGGGAAAAGGATGAAGTCTCTAAATTTTTATTGATTAAAACTGAAATAAACTCTCTTGCATCAAGAGCCCCATATCATTATAATTCTTCAAACAATAAACTGCAACAAACTGTCGATGGTTAGTTTGTTAATAATTAGAGTGAGTACGACATTAAAACAGTATTTTTTTTTTCCCTCCAATTTTATTAGCATGTTGTTACTTCAGTGTTTCTTGTTAACATTTTGTTTAAATTCTTTGCTTACAAGTGAAATATTTTTTATTCAGAATACATGACTGGTGGAAACCTTTATGATCATCTACATAAGCAGCACATATCTTTGGAGCTCCCACACTTGCTGAAGTTCTCCATTGATATCTGCAAAGGAATGGACTATTTGCACCAAAACAACATTATTCATAGGGATCTCAAGACAGCAAACCTGCTGTTGGATGCCAACAGTGTATGCAGCTTTTTTTTTTTTTTTATCCTGTATTATCACTCAGATTTGATGCCACCTTAGTTTTGTGTGTATATTTCATTTATGTCATATATCATTTTTTTCCAAATACTGTACTTGTCCATAACTAGGGAAAAAATCTCACTGAAGTTACATGTCACCTCTTCCAAATGGAAGGGGGACGCAGAATCAAGCCATTGCTCAGGACACCTATAAATTTAATTTGATTTTCAGTGGATTCTGTTCTTATTTATGGCTTCAGTTTGTAAGTTTGTTAGTCCAGAATATTCTTCTTGCCCTTGTTTGTTTGTATGCTTGTTCTTGTGAGTGTTTATTTTAGTTGAAGAGATGCATTTTGACATTTGTTTGGGGTTGTAGTGATTTATTTGAGTTACAGGAATCTATCTTTACACCCATTTAGGCGAGTGGCTGTTCTTTCCGTTAATAATGCTAATGTAATTAATGAATTCCATGAGGTAATGCTATCTTGTTTTGTTTGATAAATTCCAGTGCAATTTGTCAATCAATGTAGGTTGTAAAGGTGGGTGACTTTGGTGTGGCTCGGTTTCAGAATCAAGAGGGAGTCATGACTGCTGAAACTGGTACATACAGATGGATGGCCCCTGAGGTAGGTTTATTCTGTTTATAGACTGTCCTTTTTGCTGTTATCACCTGGTAGTAAAAACTGATTTACACTTTATTAATTTACCTCAGTCTTTGAGTTTCTCTTACCATTAAATTTTAGCAGACTTTTCATTCTTAGTGACTTCTACTAACTTGGTTGCTTAAATTGTGTCATCAAAACACAAAATGCAGTTTCAGCATTGGGTCACTAGATGATGATATTGATTATTTCTCGAATGTTAATATGAAAGTATAAATTCTGTTAGTTATAAATTAAAACAACATCACGTCGGAGAATAAATTGCATGATACCATGTATGACATTCGATGTCTTTGTTCTTCTAGTGCACATGGTCTTTGGTGATCATTGTACTTCAACAAGATTGGCGAAACTGATACAAAGTCACCAAATTTCTGGGTGTGGGAGCAAACTATATGGAAATGGTACAGTCATTGTACTTTGTAATACAAAAAAATTACCTTCGGGCTAAAATGTTTGCCAGAAACAGAATGATTTAGATTATGGAACATTTTGATTGAAACAAGATATACAACTGTAAAATCATATGTCGGTTTATACTATCAAATGTTTTAGATGGTGGGCTTTGGTACAACAGTAAAGTTGTTCTTGTGATCTGAGTGACTAGGGTTTGAGTTTGAGTAACAAAAACAATCTCTCCACTTAGGGTAAGGTTTCATGCATTGATCCTCCTTAGACCTTATATTTGTAGGTGTATCATGCATGTGGCCATTCTTTTTGGGCTGTCAAAAATTATCTTTGGAACCAAATGGAACATTGTAAGAATTTATGCTTGAGAGCAAATTAATTGCATCATTTACAATGAGGTAATGCTTTAATTTAGATGAATTTCTTTTGATTTTAGAATCCGAAGCCATGAAACATTAAAGATTTTTAAAGATTCTGATGGTTCTATGATTAATTTGAGCATAATGGTGAATGCCCATCAAAGAGATACCAGTTTAGTAGAAAAAAATGACAATAATAACAAGGTAAATTAACTTCAAATGCATTTGAAATTTTAATATCCTGGATGCCTGACTGAATCTAACATGTTTCTAAGTCTGTGCAAAATTTTTCCCTGCTAAAATTTCCAGATTTGTTTCTACCTACAATGTGAGGTTATGAATCCTTGTGGGAAGAAGGAATACGGAAAGCGAATTTTCAAAAAAGAGTAAAATATCATGGGTTTTGGAAATTGTTGTTACTACTGAAAATATTTACATGTCATGGGCCGTATCACGGCCATAGTTAGTGATAATATGTATAAGTTAAAACATAAAATTGTGCACTTTCTTGGAATTGCAACAGCTTGACTCTTTTATCATGATGATGACTATGGTAAATGCTGATATGTAGGTGTTAAAGCATAAAGTTCTGCACATTTAGGTCCTTCCAATCTCTGGATGAATCTTAACAAATTTTACACCTTATGTATAATGCTACTGTGCCTTTACGGCTTCAAAAATTATTGTTTCTAATGTGCTTTTATACTATTGTTTTTGAAGGTTATAAACCATCAACACTATGACAATAAGGCAGACGTGTTCAGTTTCGCAATTGTTCTATGGGAGTTAGCAACATCAAGGGTAAGCATTTGAGAAACATCCTACTTCATGATACTGATTTGTGGTCAAGAAATTGGACCTATGTTAATATCTGTAAAAGTTTCTTTTGTCCTGAAGGTTCCATATGATAATATGACACCCTTGCAAGCTGCTCTGGGAGTAAGACAGGTCTATCTTTTCTCTCACACTCTGGATAAATGTATTCTTTTACACCTGCTCGAATTTTGGAAAAAGTTCCAATTACTGATACCTTCATGCAAAATTGAAGTAACATGATTGCCCTTTTTTAAAATGCACTTTGGACACCCGAAAGAGGTTATAGCTTTTGTAGAATGCTTCAAGAGAACTAATAATCATAGAAAGGATAGAAAATTTTGTTATTGCTTTGCTTCACACTAATTTCTTTTGGAGTATCAAGTTTTTTGTGGGATGGGTAAGATATGATTGATTTTTATTGCATAGTTTGTAGATGGCTAGCTTGTTTTAGACCTGCATATCCCTTTGTTTAAGATACTTGTTCAGAAGCAATAAATTTTTTGTTAAGGTGCTTAATAATATTGTATAACTGATACTTGTGTGATGCCAGGGCCTACGGCCAGATATTCCAAAGGATATGCATCCTACATTAGCAGCTTTGATGCAGAGATGCTGGGACGAGATTCCTTCTAAACGACCCTCTTTTGAAGAGATAACTCAAGAACTCGAGGAACTCTTGCACCAAGTTCAGGTTCACCTTCTAACTAGCTATTCAACTAATTTTTCAGATATGGTGTCAATGATACATCAATGCCATTATTCAACTAACTATTGCAACTGCTATCTTTGAGCTGTTAATCTTTCTAAATAGATTTTGTTCGTAAAGGCAATAGCTATGACCGACTACTTGCATATTAGGCTTGTTTAATTGCGATCACGGTCATCATAGAATATCCTAAGAATATGGTGCTCTCTTTGACAAGCCATTTCAATGGAAGTTTACACATTTTGGGTAATGTTCATCTTGCAGGCATCGAGTAAAACAAGCCCATGATGAACGTACCCAGAGATTCAAGTTTAATGTCAATTGTGAGCACCAAAGTTTTACGGTCTACCTTGCAGGACATTAGGTTTGGCATTGTGTACAAAGGACTTGAGATTTCTCGGTCGCATTGATTCATACATCATACCGCCACTATAGGTTTTTACATGGAAGTACATGTTCTGTCCCCCTACAACGAAGCTGAGACATTGAATTCTACTGTAAATATTCCTCGAGCTTTTTCATGGATGAGGCATCCATGCCTGTGTCTCACATATACTAACCCTTTTTCCTGTCAAATAGAACTGGGAAATCACAAATGGACGGTTTCGGATGTGTTTTTGTGCATCAACCTTTGGCAGCCAAACTCTTTTTATGGTAGTTTGAACCCAATCATTGTTATTTAACGACTATTTCACTGTAACAAACTTATAGAGATCAATTGCTATGCAAAGATAAGCTTGAATATGTGCTGTTAACTGATCGATCGATATGCATGCCGATCTATAATTCGTAGAGGAATGCTGAAACAGTATGTTAATGGCATGGTGCCGTGGCAACAAAAATACCCCAAGGAAAATTTCCACTGGACAATTACCTTTCAAGTGTTTGTTTGGCAGGGAGACTAAGAATTTGGAAATTTGCTTTTCGACATTTTATGGGCAACTTCTGGTTATTTTCTTTGCAATCAGACGTAAGGTGTGTTATCGGACAATTACATATCATTTTTTAATGTGAAATTAGCAAATTATTGTGGAGGAAAACTTGATTGATGTATGAGAGACAATGTTGTATAGTTGACATTGGTCGGATACTTGGACACAGCTGATACGAAGTAAGAATCCATCGAAGGATCCCGCAAATCAAAGAAGTCAAACAGATCTAAAGAACAAGCTATGTTTAGGAGCTCTGACGGAGACTATATTTCCAGCTTGTTGATGTCTCCCATAAAACACAACTATCCATGTATTAGTTCTGCATCACAACTGGGAGCAGCTCCAGTGTTAGAAAGCCACGCAAATGATATCATCCATCTACCGACCGTGGATGGATTTGGATTTCCAAGGGGGGACGCCCACAGGTGCGAGGTTCGCGTGCGGCGGCCACGACAGCCGACGCCGCTGTGCTACGACCGTAAGCCCTCCCTCACCGCGGCACACGTGACGGTAAGACGCTGATGGAACGGAACGCGACCGGCCGTCACGTGCCTTGGGTTACTCGCTTTTGCTGTTGATTTGGGAGTGAGACGAAACAGCGACGAGAGGAATGCATTTATAGACGTAAAAGTGAGAGAAGGAGAGCGTGTCTTTTATTCGATCTCTGGACGCAACAACAAATAAATAAATGTTTGACATTGGAGTAATGAGCTGTAAAGAGATGCATCCATTGGTCGAAGTAAAAGAAGTAATAAGCACAGTTTAACTTTTTTTCACTTAAAAAAATTTTGAACAATTTATCGAGAATACTCATAGTAATAGGGTATTATGGGATGGCACATCTTAATTGGTTTTTCCTCATTTTTGAAAAATTTCGATAATATTATTGATTCGGCTTGTTTCAAGCTTGATTGATTTTAAAATTTCTAAAATTATATAAAAATAGAAATATTAATTTTAAAATAAGTTAGATAATTAAGTTTAACTTATTTCAATTTTGAGTGTAACTAAGTCGATATTTAAAATAAAAAATATAGGTTTTATGATTGATTTTATGATGAATTCATGATAGCTTTATATATATATATATATATATATATATATATATATATATATA